CTCACCAGCACCAGGCAAACACTTGTGCTCACTTCTGCCCTTCAGGTGTTTATGGAGGTTTGCTGGGATGTGATGGGAAATGGCTCCCCGAGGCAGGAGAAACCACTTTGTTGGTAACAAAGTACCTTGCAGGGGAGGGGAAGCTCCCTGGCTTCGGGATGGCCTGTTCCAGTCCCTGCTGGGTCTCTGGCACGGGGAGTCCAAAGGGAACCCAAAGTGCCTGTCCCCCACAAAATATCTCCCGGCACAGCACCCCAGGATTTTGGCCACAGGCAAATATATTGGTTTGTGCTCTCCGGGGATGCCATGGGACATCTGGATGACTTGCAGGCTCCCACCTTTGGAGCCTTGGCTCCTGCTCAGTGTCCTACTGTGTCCTTGTTCTGAAGTGCCACTGTCTCCCTTACCTGCTCCAAGATCACGTGGACGCCCTGGGCAGCCTCCCAGGGAGCACAGCACTGCCAAAGGACAGGATCTCACCCAGGGCACAGGGCAGCCTAGGAGAGAGGGGAGAGAGAGGTGTTAGTTAGCTAGGAAAGGGATCTCAAAGCAGCCTGCCAATCCCTCGGGTGGGATGGAAGCAATGAGCAAAGCTCTCTGCCCTGAGTGGCTGCCTGGGGCAGCAGCCGGGATCAGCAGGACCTGAGACGTACCAGTGAGAGGCAGTGGCTCCCCACTGCTGTCCCCTACTCTTTGAGAGCAGAGCTGAGAGCCTCACAGATGAAAACCCCACAGCTGGATGGCACCTGTCTCCTGGGAGAGGCAGCAAGCCTTAGCACTGGCACACGTGGCTGCTGGTTTGGACAAGAAACACATGCTCTGGCATGGGATCTGGGAGAGCTGTTGACTCCTGCAGCAGCCCTACCACCCTGCCCAGAGCGTGAGCAAGAGTAAACCATCAACTCCACTCGACAGATTCCAGAAAACAGGAGCTAACGGGTGGGTTTGGATCTGGAGTTCTTGGCTGAAATGCCTCAAAAGGGGCAATTCCCCCCACACACACACCCCCTCCCTGAGGCAAGGATCCTTCTGCTGCAGAAGGAACTGGTCACCTTGCAATATGAAATGAAGTATTTTCTCAATGAATAAAGTATTGTTACGTATTTTTTGAGCCCTGACCTTAAAGCAAGAAAATTAAGCTGAGCTGTCCTGATGGATGGAACTCAGCTCCACAGGGAGTGTGTGTGAGCTCATGGAAATGCTCCTCTGGGCTGCAGGTGTGGGCAGTACCTGCACAGGAGGCAGCAGGAGCAGCACATTCAGACCTGCCACCACGCAGTGGGAGTCTCCTTTGGGCCATGTCGATGCTGGTTTTACCCAGAACCAGGAATTCAGTGCTGTGGGACAGAGCAGGGAGCTGTGCACAGAACTGATGGTTCTGCACACAAGGAGCCTCTGTGCCTGTGTGTTGGGGGTGCTGGGGCCCCACGGGGGACACTTGGCACCCCTTCCATGGCTCCTGTCATTGTCCACCACACTCACTGCCCTGGTATCAGAGAGCTCACCAATTAAATATTAAACCTCCTGAAGGATATTGGGTTTCTTTTGTTCCTTTGGCATCTCCAATGCTCTCAGTTCTCCCTGACTTCACATGCTGCTGTTCCCGCCTTTGTGTTCTTTTAGTGCTTAATTTCATACTCTGGAGGGCTTCCTCCACCTCCTGTCTGTCACACAGAGCATCTGCTGTACAACCCAGACAAGATTTAGGGAGCAGGTTCCTCACCCAGACCCCAGCCTACAATCAAACCACCAATTCCAGGGTTCTGGCCATAGGCCACTGGGTCTCTTCATACATTTCAATCCAGTTTGATCCAGAAGGCTCTGGGTTTGATTCTGGAATCAGACCGTGAGATTTCTGAACACTTTCACCACCTGAAACATGAGCAAGCCTTCACACCATGAAAGCAAAAGCCCCTTAGCCTGGGAGCAAGGCTTCCCTGCACTGCTCCATTGCACAACATCCTTCAGGAACTTACGGGGCAGCAAACACTAGACATCCATGGCATAATTACAGCACTGACAAACCAACTGAGCCTCAGCAGCTGCCGCTGGGGAGGATTCATTCATTCCCAGTATTGCCTTTTAAACTGAAGTGCCACTGGAACAAACACAGCTTTGATCCAAGTAGGAAATCATTTGGAGCTTTGTGTTTAATAGAGCTGCAGCCCTGGGGAAGTGATGTCGTTCTTGGCCGGGCTCACAATGGGGCTCACGGCGGGCACAGACCGCGGCTGTCCCGGTCCCCTCCGAGCCAGCTGTGCTCGGACACGGCTGTTCTTGACTCGCTGGGGAAACAAGCAGTTCAACTCAGCTGCACTGAGCCACAAACGTGGCACAAAACGCAGGATTTGGGGAAGAGGAGCAGCCTTTGGAAAATCCCTCCCGACCTTGTGTTCCTTTTGCCTTTGGGGTCTCTCATGTCCCCCTCAGCCCCAGGGGAACCATGGCACAGATGGAGGGGCCACACACACAAACACAGGAACATACAGCCAGTACTGACTGGGCTGTTCACACCTGTGTGATCTGTGTGCTGGGGGGGTCACACCCCCCCGTGTGATCCACATGCCTGGGGAGGGACAGAGGGACACACACACCTTTAGACTGTGGACACCTCTTCAAATGTTGCTGCAATTTGTACCAGTAAAACCCAGTGCTCACAGCAGGGGTGAGCAGCAGGCAGGCTCCACATCTGAGGGAGCACTTGGAGGTGCTCTGCAGATGCCTGTCTGTCAGGGCCCTTTTTCATTTCAATGACCTGCGCTCCACTGTGACATTCCCCTGTCCAGAGTCAGCTGGCATCTGTGCCACAACCATTTAGAATGGCAGATGCAACGGGAGACACCTGTGGACAGAGGGGCTGAGCTAAAGTTTCAGGAACAATCCCTGAGCCTGGCAGGTGAGCGATGGAGATGCTGTAGCAATAATGCATGAGCTGCAGCTGGCTCCCCTCGCCCCTTCAGCGCTGCTCTCCTGGGTCCAGTTCCCTCCGGGCTCCCTCCCAGTGTCACAGCGCTGCTGGGAGCGCAAGTACAGCAGCCCAGTAACCTACTGGGGAACACCAGGGGATGGTGAGCTGGGAGAGCAGCAGGTATGATGGGCCGAGCACTCCCGGAGTCCTGCAGAGCCCCCCGGGTCCCAGCTCTGGAAACTGCTGCTGACCCAGCAAGCCACCCCGAGGGGCTGGTCGGGAAACTGGCACCTTCCTTAGAGGGTCACAAAATCAAATCATTGGAAGCAAAGGAGCTTCCCAGGCCACTGCTGAGCAGACCTGAGACATGGCAAAGTGATGGAACAGCACTCAGCTTTCCCTGCAAACAAGGCCCTGACTAAAGCAAAAAGGAAATGCGGAGCTGGAGCTACAGACAGACCAGAAATGGTGTTTACTTCCCTGCCCCGGGATAGAGGGAGATGTGCTTGGAAGGAGGGTTGTTTGTATAAATAAATGTTCATTCTTGGCAGTGGAATGCAAACTATGCTGAGGGACTGGAACCAGGCACTCAGAAAGCTGAGGCCAGAGCAAGGGAGAGACGAAGCAAGTCTGCAGGGAGGAAACTCACATTCATTTTTAGCAACTTGGAGAGGTTCTCAAGCCTGTTTGACATTTTTGATTATGCTGATGTAGAGCCTATTCCAAGGACAAAAGAAGTCAGGATTACAGGTTAAACAATTAGGAAATTTCACACCAGGCAGTGAGGGGTAGTGCCGTCTGCAGGTCTGGAGAGTCTCTGAAACGCGGGATCATCTTTCAGTCTTTCTAGACAGATGGAATTTGAATGTCTTGCAGAATCCTCACCCGGGTCAGGAACTCAGAGCGTGGGCCTGCAAGCCTCTCCTGATAGCATTTTCTGAGAGCCCACAGCAGGCAGGAAAGATGAGCCTGAGCTGCTGCTCTTTGTCCAGACTTTCCTGCAAGGTTTCTGGGAGGGCAGGAAACGATCCTGCAATGTGGCATCAACTGTGTCAGAGTCTGTAACTTTACAGTGGGAAACAAAACTGCAATTTCTCATGGAGAGTGAGCTCAGCTCTGTGGTGTCACATCACAGTGAGTCAGGGCCTGTTTTCCATGCTCAGAATATGTTGCATTGTGAGTGCAGAGTTCCCATGTATCTGTGGAAAAGACCTTTACCTGCTTGCTTGCCCACTGTCCTTTCTGAGGAATGTGCAAGGACCTGTCCCTACATTTCAGTTTGGGTGTCAGGGGCCACGGCTGTGGCACTGAAAGGGCAGGAGTTGCCCACTTGTGTTGAGCAGAGACATCAGCCCCCCTGCTCCAAGTCCAGCCCAGGAGCTGGCACCAGGCTGGGGCAGTGGAATCGGAACCTGCATTCTCTCTGAGATAATGGAAAGTCACAGGGAGGTATCCAGCTCTGGGCATGAATAAATCATTACAGGTATGAATTATTCAGGGTTCAGCCCTCCACATGTGCTCCATTCAGACTCCAGCAGCAGCATCCCTACTGTGCAGAGTTTCTTCCCAAACATTCCAGGTCTGTGACAGGCTGATGAATCCAAGTGTTCAAGTAGGATTAAAAGAATAATTAAAAATCCAGCAGTAAAAAGCTGCTCAAAAGAACTGTGACACCTCAGGCTGGCATGGCAGTGGCCAGGCAATGTCTGAGCTCCACAGTGTCAATGTTGCAAGCTGTCCTTGAGTTAGTCACAGCGTGGGGTGGGAATAAAGAGTGGCTCAGGAAATTGGGAGCACGTGTTGGAGGAAAGAGTTGGAATGATGGGCACAGAATCAATACAGGAACCAACCCAGCCTTCTGGTAACCTGTGTCTAACACAAACACAGGTATCACCTGGATTTCTCAAATGTCAATATGCAATTTTGGTAGCGCTGAGGCGGTAACTTAGAATTTCTGGCTTAGATCTGTGCTGTGATATCAGTGGCTTTGCCCTGTGGTTCTTTTTTAACATCCTGTTTATTATGAGCTGAAATGGATCTAATTAAGAGAAGACCTGGTTTGCAGTGACTGAAAGGATGGCACTGTTAGAGCTGGGCTGCTGTGATTACTTTAATGCCACGGCCCAAATCACTGAGCTGGGGGCCCAGGTGAGCAGGCCCAGGTGAGCAGGCACAGGTGCTGCCAGGTGGTTTCTGGGGAAGGCTGCAGTGAAGAGACAAGTGAATCAGACCATAGGTCAATCAAACCATGGATTACTCAAACTATAGCTTAATCCTCACCACTCCAACCCCGACTGGAAGGGAAAAAAAGTCCTGTGTTGAAGAGCCAGGAAATGGCTGGTTTGTCCTGCACAGGAAATGAGTCAGCCCCGAGCATCGGGAGGAGCCTGGGGACAGGGAAGTGCTGAAATAACATGGAGGAACAGCACAAATACAGAGAAGTCTCTCATGTCATGGATTAGAAAGAAGGAAAGGTGTAAACTGTGAGCTCTTCTGATTCTACCTGAAATTTGAAGTTGATGTAGGTGCTTGCAGCACGAAATACCTGCAGCTGCAGTTTGGCAGCTCTGTAAAAAGGGAACTCAGAGTGTGCAATGGCAACACCAACTGTGCCCCAGGTGCAGCTCTCCTGGCTCGCAGAGTGTTTCTCAGCTGCTCAGCTCTGGATCTGCACAGGAGGCCTCATGTCGCTGCAGTGGTAGAGCTGTCACAGACACCTCGCTCCCAGAGCCCAGACACGGGTTAGGAATCACAGAATCACAGACTGGTTTGGGCTGGAAGGGACCCTCAAAGCTCAAACCATTCCACCCTCCTGCCATGGGCAGAGACACTTTCCATTAGACAAGGCTCCAAGCCCCATCCAACCTGGCCTAGAACACTTCCAGGGATGGAGCAGCCACATTTGCTCTGGGCAACCTGTGCCAGGGCCTCACCACCCTCACAGGGAAGAATTTTTTCCCAATATCCCACCTAACCCTGCCCTCTGTCAGTTTGAAGCCACTTCCCTTTGTCTGGGCACTCCAGGCCCTTGTAAAAAGTCCCTCTCCAAGAACACTTCTGTTTATTGCTGACAGGATATTAAGCTCAATTCCAAGCCCCTTTATTTACCCATTACCAATCAGAACACTCCTTGGTAATACTCCATGCTGCCAAACTCTCCTGGATCAGTGGAAGAAACGCCCCCCTCACTCAGGCAGTGTCCTGCTCAGAAAGCCACATGTCTGCAGGGAAGAGCTGCACCTTTCCCAGGGCTGGAACAAACCCAGCCAGCTCTCCTGCAGCCCTCCCTGTGCCCACTCCTCCTCCAACCACCCCAGCTGCAGAGGGGCTTTGGGTCCCTCTCCTCGCTCCTTCCCTTGGGCACGAGCAGGGGAGGCTGAGGGTCAGGGCTGGACACATCTGCTGGACTGACAAACCCCGCGGGGATTCCGCTCCTGCCCCGCCTGCTCTGCACTAACCCCTCCCAGAGCTGTGATGTGGCATCCTCAGCCATGCACAGAAGAATGTTCTGGCACCCTAAGACGTTGCTAAAGCTGCCAGTATGCTTTGAAACAAAACCGCCGTGTTCGCTGAAAAGGGCTGGAAATAAATAAAAGAGACAAAGAGAAGCACCCTCTAGCTCCCAGGTTTCTTTGGGATATACAAGCAGCAGTTATCTGGGAAAGAGTTCCCTGGTTTAGGGCCTTGCAGAGTTCTGGGAATAATGGGACAGGAGAGGAACTTCCAGGAAAGCAATTGTCACTGACACCAGCATCTAGGATGCACCACTCTGCCCAGGGCTTCAGGCTCCTGAACTGGGGCCGTGTTTTAGGAGGGTTTCTGGTTTTCAAACTGCTGACAGAAACATGGGGTGGAAGAGGAAGGAGAAGGGGAAGAGTTCTGCCAGATTGCAAAGGACACAGTTACGCAGAGAAGTGTCCGTGACCCTGCACAGGCCGCAGGGTTGTTTTAACAATACAAAGGGAAAAGGCAGGAAAAGCTCCGTTTTGTTTCAGAAGGTTTTTCTTCTCTAGTGGTGAATTAAATGCCAAGAGATAACACAGGCAGGAAGGGCTCAAAAAGAGAAAAGCTGGGTGTGCCCCAGAGGCCTTTCCCAGCGGAGGAACCGGAGCTGGAGGGTGGGACGCTGCTGCAGGATCCTACAAAACAAACTGGTTCATTTTTTTCCCTTTGCCCTCCTCTTTTTTTTTTTTCCACATGGCCATTTTCATCTGGGTTTGTTTTTCAAAACAAACACAAGGACACACAGGGGCAGGTCCTGCTCCCCGCTGGGTTTTTATATCAAGTGTGATCTTGTTCTTAAATGTATTTTCCTGTTTGGCCCAGAGAAAGCCCCAACAGTATCTCTGGTCACTTTGCTCCCTGAGCAGATGCTGCCTGAAAAATTCTCTTCATGTTGCAGGAAAACAACTGATAAAATGTTGCACAATCAAAATTTCTGCCAGAACTGTGGAAAATCAGAGCGAGTTGCACAAACCTTAACAAGTCTTTTAAGTCAGACCACACCTGCAGAGGACAGGCCTTTGGAAATCAGGAATCCTGTGCTGGCATCCACCTCTCACTGTTCCACCATAGATACCTGGAAAGCACCTGGGATACCCGCACATGCCATAAACTCATGTCAGCAGCCACTAGAAAATCAGATCCTGGCTGAGCATTAATGAATATTTTCAGTCTTTGTGGCATGTTCAGGGGGCTCTTCTTTAGGGGTATTGAAATAGCCCATATTTAAAAAAGAAAAGAAAAAAAAAAAGGAGGGATTCTGTCTCCACAGCATCCTCTACCATGGAGGGATCCCTTACTTACAGTATAGAAATAAAATCATTCTGAAGGGAAGATGAAGTGAAACACCTCCACGGGAAACACACCTTAAACCAGGCACAGATCAAGGGAGTGCAGGAAGCTTGTGTTGGCTGTTAAATTCCTGCTCTCTTTGATCACATCACTTTATCTCTCTGGCTCTCAGCTACACTGGATCCATAATCCCATCATTTTCCTATTCTTTGTCTCATCGAAGTTGTAAATCTCTTATCTGAGGCAGCAGCTGAGCCTTTCAAATGCACGACCCAGTAAACAACCTGGTTTCAGACAGTTTTATTTGCCTTTAGCAATAGATCAGAACATACTTTTCCTGGATTTTAACTGGGAGCTCAGTAAGTCAAAGATCTGGGAATCAGAGTTCCCAGCTCCTGGTAAGATCCAAGGCCAAGGCAAGCTCCTGCATTTCACAGATGGGGACAAGGGTGAGGGAGGCAGGTGATGTCTGATCCTGGCCTCCGAAACCTCTGAGAATTGCCCCACTGAGAAATAAGAGCTCTGGCCAGAGGACTCGGCACAGCAACACGGGTTTGGGAGAAGACAGACCATTTCAGTTCTAACTTTTTCTTTTCCCTACTCATGTGTCAAGTGTATGCTTGAGAGAGACAAGAATACAAAATGCATGTCTGTACCTGCCCGAGTTACCTGACACGCAGCAGAAACACTGCCCAAATTTCCTTTGCACTCTAAAGTAATTTTCTGAGCGTTCACATGGGTCCGTATTTAAACAGTGTTTCATCTACGGCAGAACTGCTCCCTGGAGCGGTGGTGGGCAGGATCCAGCAGCATCCAGGGGCCTGGGATGGGGACAGACCCTCACACCTGCCCCGCTCACCCTGAGGGAGCCACAGAAAGGATCTTACACAAAACCGCCACAGTCGGTTTAAATTCACCATAGGTGGCCCAGCATCTGCAAAGCAAATCTTCCAGAGGTTTGACAAGCCCCAAAACCGCGGAATCTACCTGAATCCCTGCAGAAGTGAGGCCTACAGGCAATGATAACCATTAAGGTGGGACAAGCCGATGTAATGGCGCACTGAGGTGCCCCTGAGGGGCCATGGAGCTGTTTCGGGCAGCAAACGATCAGAACGGGACCGGAGGCACAGATCTGCCTCATGCCTGAGCAGCAGGTACGTGAGATGTCTTACCTCACGGGATCTCTCTCTCCCTCACTCACAGGGTAATCTTTATCCTTAAGACATTAACTGCGATTACAGATGGGGACTGTAATTAAACCCTCCGGCCCCGCGCGGCTCCCGAGGGGCGGCGCGGCGAGCGACCCATCCGGGATGGCGGCGGCCGCGGCTTCCCTGCCCGCACCAACATGGCGGCGGGGCCGAGCCCGCCCCGCAGCCCCTCACGGCACAACGTGCACGCCGGGGCCATTGCCCGTATTCAAGATGGCGCCCAAGGCGGTGATTCCCATGCCCTGACCCCACTCAAGATGGCGGCTCCGGGTGTCAATCCGGCCTCCTTCCCGCTCTGAAGATGGCTCTCCAGGCTTCCTCCGCCTACCGATGGCGCCGCGCACTGGCGCGTCGCCTGCCCGTGCCGTCAGGCAGCATCGGCCTCGCGCCGGGCTCCAGGGCGCCAAACCCGGGAGGCGGGCGCGTCCGCCCCCCGTCAGGGTGACAGCTCCGTGACCAATGGGACGCCGGCGCGGGCGAGGCGGGCCAGGCGGCGCCGCCATTTTTGTGAGTCTTAAAAAAAAAAACCCAACGGAGCGGTCGCGTGGTTCCCGCTATTGCGCGCTCGCCTCGGCTCCCGACGGTCCTCTCGCGTGCAATGGACGGGTGGAGTCCCGCCGGCGCCGCGCCGGGGCCGCGAGGCGCTGCCGCCGGGCCCCTCCCGGGCTGCGGAGGCGCCGCGTCGGGGACCCGCGGCGGGGGCTGGGCGGTTACTGTGGGGGGCCGCGGGCGCGGCCGGCGGCGGGCGGGGGGTCTCGTGCTGGGCGGCACCCCCCAGACCCTTCCCGCGGGCGGTGGGGAGCGGGGCGGCCGGGCGACACCTCGTTGCGGCCCGGTCCCGCGTTGCGTCCGCCGCTCGGGGGTCCCGGCCGAGGGGAGGGTTTCGAGCGTCCCGGCCGGGGGGGGTCGGGGGGTCCCGCCGGGAGCCCTGGCGGGGGCGGCGCGGCCTCGGGAGCGCCGCTGGGGGCGGGCGGCGGCCCGGGCGCGCCCCGCGGGGGCGACGGGGCGGGGCGGGCGCAACTGGCGGCGGTGATTACGGCGCGACTTCCCTCCCATGCTCTGGCGCTTCCGCGGGCGGGGGCGGGGGGGTCTCGCCGGGCTTCCCTTTTGTGGCAGGGTTTGGTCGCCAGGTTTCGCGGGGCGGCGGGCCGGGCTCCGCCGCCGCCTCACCTGAGCGCCGCAGGTACGGCCCCGCTCCCGCCGAGCTGCGGGAGGACGCTCCGCTCCGCGGCCCCTTCGCGGGGAGTTTCCAGAGCGCAACTTTTGTCACGTCGATTCCTCTTTAAGCAGCGCCCGGCGGGGCCTCGCTGCGGCAGAGTTGGCTCTGAAGCGGGTGTTTTATCAGGGGATCTCTCGAAAGCGAGATCTCCGTGCTTCTCTCATCCTGTATGGCGTAGTTTTTTTGTGATCTGATTTTTTGTTTCTTCTAGCGCTCCGTAGTTAAAATATTTCTGAAGGCCTCCGAGTGAGCAGTTTGTTTTCCCACAGCCATAAGTACGGGAAGCCCAAATTAGTGCCTTCTCGCTTTCTGCCTCGGAACACTGGTCTGGGGAGAATTAGGCATAGTCACATGTCTGGGTTTTTTTACACACTGAAAAAGTGGCGTCTCAGTGTTGTTTTCATCTTAAACCCCATAAAAATTGTGTATCTTACGATTTTTGCAGTCCAGGATCGCTCTACTGCTTTTAACCAGTTGCTCACCATGTTGAATGATATTAAAAAAAACCAACAAAAAACCCCAACAAACCAACAAGTTCTCAGCACGTGAGATCACACATTCTAGTGGCAAAAATCGGTTTGATGTCAGCTGTGGTTCCTGGGAAGGCTGGTGTTCTGTGCGTGTTAAAGTAGTGCTGTTTGAATGTAGAAGTTTTAGCGAAACACGCGAGTCTCAGTTACCCCTCCTCTTTTGGAGATCCTGGTGCGGGATATGTTTACCCTGTAAAAGTGTCCCCTGTCTCCTGCTGAAACTTCAAAAGCTGCTTCAGAGAATGGTTTTAAGTTTTGCCGAGCTGGCAGTGAGCAGCCCCCTGGCTCCAGGCTGCTCCCGTCTCCTTCTCCCGAAAATGATCTCGAGCCGTGCCCGAGTGATCCCCTTTGAATAAGTTGCTTTGTTAAAACACGCGAGGAGTCCGAAATGCTGCTTTGGAAAATGACCTGGAGGTTTTACTGGTGCTGCTTAATTTTTCCCCTTATTGCGTAGGAATTATCCATTATTCCATAGGAAAAAAATAATTTTTATGAAGGGCTTTTTTGCATGTTCTTTCGGAACTGGGAAAAGTTTTAATCCCATCCTGAAGGCTGATGTGCATGAGAGGAGAATGAAGCTTGGGATAATTTACTGAGGGGGTGTGTGAACTGGAAGTATGTCTCACATTTGAATAAAAGTTCTGAAATACTGTGGAGCTTGTTTCCTGTGGTATTTGTTATCAAGTGGGCTGCAATAATATCCCAGGAATCGATAGCTCTTGGCAAATAAAACAGCTCTTCCTGTTGGATGGTTCTAAATACCATTCCCTGCTAAGGCACTTTATGTAAAACATTTCCTGTGCGAGAGGCCCACAGGAGGAACAGGAAGTGGGAGAAACTGCTGGGGTAAGTTGGAGAGTTTGGGAAACCTGGGACATCCTGTGTTCTGGCTGTGCTTGGTTGGCAGTAGCCGTTCTGAGGTTGTGGAGACGCCTGGGTTAATGTTTGTGTGTTCAGTGATGCTGGCTCCTTGAACTGCTCCCTGCAGATGGGTTTCATTAGTTCACTGCTGCTGCCCCTCGGGTGCAGCCAGCCCGTCTGCCCTGCGGGTGCCCGGCTCTGGGCCGTGGAGCGGTGTCAGACACGGCCTCCTCCGAGCACTTCCCTGGAAAATGCGGAACTATCGCGTGGCTTCCCACAGCAGCCGTTGGGTTGGGCTGTGGCTCCAGCTGCAGAGCGCTGGGTTATGATGACACGGCAGGTTGGGGGGAAGAGGAAGTGTGAGGAGCTGAGCTGGCTCCTGCTGGGGCTCCTTGGTGGAGCTGGGGACGCTGGGACGGCCTAATGAGATCGAGCAGGATTTAATTCCCTGAAAAGTTATGAACCGTTGCAAGAGGAGAGGGAGGTAAGAACTAGCAAATGCAAGTTCTCTCACATTAACTCACCATGTCAAGTTGTTCTTGAGTACTCCAGGTTTCATAGTGCTGGTTCAAGAACGACTGCCCTGCCTGCCCTGTGTCCCCCTGCTCTGTGGAGCTGCTGCAGGTCGGTCAGCCGGCCACTGCCGGGCCCTGTGCTCTGCAGTTACAGGCAGCTCTGTGAGAGGGGGGAAGCGGGCAGGGCTGTGGACATGGCAGTCCAGAGGGGTCGTTTCTGCTCTTGGTTTTGTGTTGATGCTTTGCAGGGGGTTGGAGTTTATTAAAAAAAGATGCAATCTCCAGTGCGAGGGTATAACTGAAATCCTTAGGCTGTCCTGAGCACTTCCACAAAACAGTAATGTGGAGGTGCTGTAAGGCTCTGGGAGATTGTAGGCAAGCATTCCAACTGCACTGGTGGAAGATGTTGCTCTTAGGTGATGTGTGTTGTGGTGTAGAGAGTTCACTGCTGACAGGAGCTGGGTTGCTTGAGGTACAGCTGGTGCTAATTTTCATCTTAGTTAATCAGAAAGTCTCATTTTAGAAGGTTTAAGTGTCTTAGGTAGAGTTTAACGAGTGATTTTTGCTAGACTTGATAGAGGAATCCTGTGTAGGGCGTACCCCAGGTTGGGACTGCCTGTACATCCCCTGCTGTGGCTCCAGCAGTGCCTGGAGGGCTGCTCTGAGCCTGGAGGGCTGCTCTGAGCCTGCCCCAGCTCCTGCTCCACGGGGACACAGCCAGGCTCTGTCCCGGGACCGCTGGAGCCCTGGTGCTGGTGTCTGCAGCTCTGCTGGAGCTGCCCTGGCAGAGGCTCGGGGGTGTCAGGGGGACAGGACCCGCAGGAGGGGATGTTGGTGGCAGAGCTGACTCTCTTCCTCTCGGTGTGGTCAGACGGGGTTGCATTGCTGGGCTCGGGGTGTTCGTTCCTCCCCCCCAGGCCCTTGCAGGAGGAGCAGGCGCTGCCATAGGGAGTGGGAGAGCTACAGTTTTCTGGCACTGCTGGGTCTTGGGTCTCCACCATCACCATCTAATAATTTTTCTTTGTATAAACTGTCCTTGGCTCACCTGCAAAGACAACTGTGCACTTTGACTTGCTTTTTTCTTACTACTGTAAACTATGCTGGATTTTTGTGGCAAACCTATCTAACTTTTTTAATCCTTTTCTTTCTTTTTTCTACAGCATTGTCCAAGATATAACAGTTGGTACAAAGGTAGGCACTTCTCACTTTTTCTCTCTTTTTACACTGCTCAGCATCTGACCTAGTTTTAGCCTTAACAAATGTAGATCTTCAGCTGTAAAGGGTTATTTCTGGTACCACGTAAATTGGTTTTAACCAGAAGGTAATTTAGTTTCATGTGCATTTAAAACTTATAATATGGCTCAGCATTTAGCTCTTGGCATTTGGACATTGATTATCAACTTTATTGCATTTAGGAACAGTCTAAAATGTCGAGCCATGCCTGTTACTCGTGTACTAGACAGTGCTTCTCCATGGAGAAACTGATCCTTTTCCTTTGGAGAACTCCGTTTCCTTCGTTTGTGTGAATTCCTGTTCAGTTATATGTCAGAAATCCTTCTGCCACAAAAGGGAGCGTTTAGCTGTTGATTTTTATTTCCTGCTAGTACAGCAAATATGACCTTTGCCTTTCTAGTCTGAGGTTTGGAAAGCGCAGCCTTAGCCCTAAACTCAAAGTGCTGGAAAGGAGGCTCCTTATCTGCTGCGGGAGGCAACAAGGGTCAGCGCTGGTGCTGTGAAATGCAGGGCTGGAATGTGCAGGACAGCCTGGCCCTCCTTGCCGGGCTGAAGGGCTGGCTTTGACTCGATGTAGCTCTGGGGTCAGGACTGCAGGGAGCTCAGCCCCGTGTGAGTGCTGGCCCTCGGTGAAGCGTCACCGGCCAAGCGCCGGAGTGACCGAGAGCTGCCAGTGGCCTTGGCGGGGCTGGGGAAGGGGTGCCTGGGGCAGAGAGGCCGAGGGATGGGGCTGGTGGAGCCTGGCAGTGCCACGGGAGCC